ATAGGACTTGTATTCACCTTAGTCAGGAAAAACAACCTTGTTATCTAAGAAGATATGTATAGAGAGGATATTTTTTAAAAAATTAAGTTTATATTATTAACAATTTTAGGAAAGTGTAGCAATGGGTTTTTCAATTTTTGTGCCTTTTAAAATTCTGTATTTTTAGAAATGGTTGACAGTTTGAATAGCCAAAGCAATCTTGAGAAAGAACAAAGCTGAGGACATCATGCTCCCTGATTTCAAACTATACTGCAAAGTTAGCACAGTATGGTATTGGCATGAAAACAGACACTTAAATCAATAGAACAGAATAGAAAGCCCAGGAATAATAATTAATAACACATAGTCAATTAATTTATGACAAAGGAGCCAAGAATATATAATGGGGGAAGGGACAGTCTCCTCAAACAATAGTGTTGGGAAAACTGGGCAGCCACATGCAGAAGCATGAAACTGGACTCTGATCCCCACCTCTCACCATACATAAAAATCAATTCAAAATAGATGCAAGATTTGAACATAAAACTTGAAACCATAAAACACATGGAAGAAAACATAGGAAAAAGCCTCTTTGACATTGGTCTTGGTAATGATTTTTTAGATTTGATACAAAAGGAAAGGCAACAAAAGTAAAAATAAACAAGTGAAATTATATCCAACCTCACAGCTTCGGCACAGCAAAAGAAACCATCAACAAAATGAAAAGGTAACCTACTGAATGTGGGAAGATATTGGCAAATCATATCTGGTAAGGGGCTAAATCCAAAATATATAGGGAATTTACACAATTTGGTAACAACAACAACAACAAAAACCAAAAACTTGGCAGAGGAACTGAATAGACGTTTTTCCAAAGAAGACATACAAATGGCCAATTGAAAAGATGCTCTACATCACTAATTATCAGGGAAATGCAAATCAAAACCACAATGAGATATCACTTCATACTTGTAAGTATGGCTATGATAAAAAAGACAAGAGATAACAATGTTGGCGAGGATATGGCGAAAAGGGAGCCCTTGTGCACTTGCTGCTGGAAATGTAAATTCGTGCAGCCCCTATGAAAAACAGAACTACCATAAGATCCAGTAATCTCACTTCTGCATATATATCCAAAGGGAATGAAAACAGGATATTGAAGAGGTTTATTCATTCCATGTTCACTGTAGCATTATTCACAAAAGCTAAGATATGGAAATATCCTAAGTGTCCATCAACAGATGAATTGATAAAGGAGATATACACAATGTAATATTATTCATCTATAAGAATGAAGAGAATCCTGCTGTTTGTGACTAAATGGATGGTCCTTGATGGCATGATGCTAAATGAAATAAGCAGAACAGAGAATGATAAATACTGCATAATATCATGTATATGTGGATTTATTTTTTTAAAAGATTTCATTTAAAAAAGAGAGAGGCAGAGACACAGGCAGAGGGAGAAGCAGTATCCACGCAGGACGTAGGACTCAGTCCTGAGCCAAAGGTAACACTAAACCGTTGAGCCACCAAGGCTGCCCTATATGTGGATTAAAAAAAAAAAAAGTCACTAATAGAGACAGAGAGTAGAAAACTGGTTGCCAGGGGCTGGAGGTGAGGGAGACAGGGATAGGTTTGGTAAAAAAGGTACAAACTTTTAGCTATAAGATGAATAAAATCTGAGGAGCTAATGTATAAACATGGTGAATATAGATCATAGCACTATATTGTATAATTGAAATTGAGTAAGAGTAGAACTTAAATATTTTCAGTTCTCTCCCCTGCCAAAGAAAATGTCTGAGAGAAAAAAATTATTAAATTTGTAATTGTAATTTTAACTGTTGAATAGGGTTTGTTGCGGGGGGGGGTGCCTAGGTGACTCAATAGGTTAAACATCTGTCTTCAGCTCAGGTCAGGATCTCAGGGTCCTAGGACTGAGCCCCATGTGGGCTCCCTTCTCAGTGGGAAGCCTGCTTTTTCTTCTGTTGTTCCCTTTGCTGTGCTCTCTCTCTCAAATAAATAAATCTATTTTTAAAAAAGTAGGGTTTATTGGTGTTAAATATTTAGAGAAACTTAAGTTGTTTGACTTATTAGCTAATTTATAAAAAATAAAATTTGAGCCTTAAAAACTTGTTTCTAACGTGTACAATTAAATCTTGAGTTATTTAAAACATTGGTTATTAAGTACACTTTTGTGCACAGATCACCCTCTTTTGCACATTAAAAAAACAAGTTAACAACACAAAATGCTCGAGAATGTGCAGAGCAGCAGGAACCCTCATTCATTGCTGGCAGGAGTACAAAATGGTACAACCACTATGGAAGACAATTTGGTTATTTCTTACAATACAGCACTTTTACATTACATTACAATCTAGCAATTGCACTTCTTGGCTTTTATTCAAAGGCATTGAAAACTTATGTCCAGCAAATTCCTGGACACAGATGTTTAGAGCAGCTTTATTTGTAATCATCAAAATCTGGAAGCAAGCAAGATGTTCTTCAGTAGGCATATGGATAAACAAACTGTCATATATCCAGACAATGGAATATTTGGAATATTATTTAATGCTAAAAAGAAATGAGCCATCAAATCATGAAAAGGTCTGGAAAAAACTTAAATGCGTATTACTATGTGAAAGAAGCCAATCTGAAAATACTATATCTTGTATGATTCAACTAGATGATATTCTGGAAAAGGCAAAATTATGGAGACAGTATGAAGAAAAGTGGTTTTTAGGGTTCAATGGGGGACAGGAAAGGGTAAATAGATGGACCAAGAGGATTTTTAGGGCAGTGAAACTACTCCATATAATGCTATAATGGTAGATACGTCATTACATTTGTCCAACCTATAGAATGTATAGCACCAAGAAGCACTAATGTAAACCAAACACTCTGGCTGATAATGATCTATCAATGTAGGTTCATCAGTTTTAACAAATGGAGTATCCTGTTTGGCGATGTTGATAATAGAGGAGGTGATGTGAGTGTGAGAGGATGGGGGACTGTGTATCTTCTTCTCTTATATCTTTTGCTGTGAACTTGAAACTGTTCTTAACAGTCTATGAAAAAATAAGTTAGCATACATTACTGAGATTGCATCTGCATGAACACTTAAAGGTGTTTTAGAACTAACCAGCAAGAGGTAGGGCAAACAGCATTTATTTGGGATAGTAAGAAGAAGTAGTCAAGGATAAACAATAAACATAACAAAGAAGAAAAAAACAAATAGTAATTTAACTATACACAACCTGGTTATTTACGATGAAGCCATTATGGTGGGGAACCAGATCCCTGAGGCTAGATGCTTAGCAAGACAAGGGTCTTCTCTATTCCCACTCTTGTAGCTTCAGTGTTCGAACTGTGCCCCGACTCTGGTTTGCTACAGATAATTTTTGTTGAGTGAATAAAAGTGGGTTTCAAAGGCCAATTTCAATTCAAAACTACCCAGAGTTCTTTAAAAGGCAGATTCATTGGGTACCTTGTAGGTGGAATCACAATCCCTTGGAGTATCAGAATCTGCCTTCTTCACAGATACACACCAAAATGCTTCTTTCCTATGCTACACGCAGCCTGAGAATGAGGGAAATTCCATCTCTTCATTTTGTCAGAGAGAAAATGGAGGCTAAATAGTTTGCTCAAAATCACATGGCTAATGACTGAACAAAAAGTAGAACTCAAGCTGTCTGGTGCTGAAAAGTTTATCAGAACGATTACTTCCTCTAGTTTTAGCGTATAGAAAGGGAAATAATCTAGCTTCTAGGGTCCCCCCCCCCCAACAGATAGCTGGTTTCAAGTTCATTTCTCATTGTTATTTCTTTACCACTTCTCCTGTGTCTCCAATGCTGGAAGCCATTCTCATGGCCATAGAGCTTGCTTCAGAAATAACCAGATTCTTACGTTCAATAGTAAAGAGGTTGGAAGAGGTAGTCCTCATCAGTGTAACGGCTTTCTCTGTCAAGTTCCATTCAGCATGATTTCTGCAGGGCTCTTGAAAAGCTTTTGCTGTGTTTCTCCAATTCCCCGGGGAAAGGTTGGAAATACCAAGTCTGGACAAATTATTTGAACGCGTTGGGATTATTTTTCAGGGTCTGTGACCCACAAGATCTTTTCTAAGATAAGTTAACGTTGGACAGTGCCTCAAGTTGGTTATTTCTTCCAGAGTTCTCTCTTTGCGCTATTTATCACATTGCATCCCAGAGGATAATCAGCAACTGATTAGCGAGCGATTAAAACATTTCTCAATATACTTAATATAAAATAATAGATCGGGCTAGTGAAATAAGCGAAACCGCAGTAACCTACACAGCACAATTTGATCCAGAGATGCCCACTTCATTTTAATCAGGTGGATCTCATCTCATTTTTCTTTTGTTAGCATCGACAAAACATCTGGAGAGCTGCTTACCTGAAAAGGAGAACAAATCTCGCCCTCTAGGGTGTTGGGCGCGCGGGTGATCGTGATGACTTCCCGCGTGGGCGCTCTCCAGGGGGGACCCGGGAGCCGCCCCGGGGCGCGGCGGGGCAGCCGGGCGTGGGGGTCCGCGGCTCCGCCCCCGCCGCGAGGGGCCGGCCTGGGCGCGGGGGCGGGGGCGGGGCCGTGTGCCGGCAGGTGGGGTCCCGCGCTCCCGCTGCAGAGGGGAGCTCCGCACCTTTGCGCCCGGGCATCGCGGTCTCCGCGCTCCACCGCCCGGCTCCCGGCTCCCGGCTCCCGGCTCCCGGCCCGGGTTTCTCCCGTCCCGACCTAGAAGTGGCGGGTTCTGTTGACCCTCGCCGGCGGAGCCAAGGCCCTTGTCCCGGGCCCAGAGGGGCCAAGCCCGCGTCCTCGGCCGCCACCCCGCGACCCCGCCACCCCGCCCGGAGACCCCGAGGCGCGCCGGCACCAACCTGGGCGGGCCCCGTCCCAGCACTTCTGCAGCCGGACGCCGCGGGGACGCCGCCCGCCGCCCTCCCCGGGCGCACGCACCTGCCCCGCGACCCGCCCCGGGGCACCTCCGCGGTCCCCCCGCGCGCACCATGCGGCCGGCCTGGCCCGGCGCCCCGCTGCCCGCGCTGCTCCTGCTCGCGCTGGCTTTGGCCCTGCCGGGGGCCCCGGGGACGCCCCGGGGTGGCAGGGGAGCACGGGCCACGGACGCAGAGCCCAGGTCGTGGCTTCTCCTGCCGGCGGCCAGGGCCGGCCCGGCTCCCAGCGCCTCCCGGAGCACTGGTAAGGAGTCCCCTTCCCTGGCGGCCCCTGCCCTGATCAGGGCTTTAGGAAACCGGAATTGAGCAGAGCAGAGAGCAGACCCAGACCGTCCCTGCAGAGAACCGGTTCTCGAGGAAAAGAGGTAACGAGTTTATTCGATTCAGCCTTCTGAGACGCAAGTGGCAAAGCCCGCGTCTGGCACAGGAACCGGCGTGATGCGGCCCTTCCCGGGGACCGAGGCCCTTCAGCCGCCCAAACCCCGGGGTCCCTGCGCAGCCTGCCCAGGCCGAGGGCACGGCTCTGCACCTCCGGGCGCCTGGTCCTGGGTCTGGCCTCGTTTTGAGAATTCAGTAAGAGCCTGCCTGGACACACACACACACACACACACACACACACACACACACTCCCCGAAGGAGCTCAGGGATGCTCCTTTGACTCCACCTTCAAACCCACTTTGGAACGGTTGAGGGAGGCGCGATCTTGAACAGGCCGAGGTGGCTGCTGTGAACTCGGACCCGCCCACCGCCAGGCTCCAAATCTGCTTTGGGCACTCCGGTCCCTGGCTTCTTCTTCTTCTTTTTTATTTTTATTTATTTATTTATTTGTTTGTTTATTTATTTATTTATTTATTTATTTATTTATTTATTTATTTATTATAGTCAGAGAGAGAGAGAGAGAGAGAGAGAGGCAGAGACACAGGCAGAGGGAGAAGCAGGCTCCATGCACCGGGAGCCCGACGTGGGATTCGATCCCGGGTCTCCAGGATCGCGCCCTGGGCCAAAGGCAGGCGCCAAACCGCTGCGCCACCCAGGGATCCCCGGTCCCTGGCATCTTAGATGGAAAAACGAGGGGGGAAATAGCCAATGTAGAGGTCATGAGACATCCTAAGGTCGAGAAGTCCAGTGTGATTCGCAAATGTGAAAATCCCAGGGCACAGTGAGGGGTGGGGTGGGCAGCAGTGCCGGGCACCCAGGGCAGGAAGGGAGGTAGTGCGCGAGGGTTAGAGAAGCTGCTAACACGCGTCTGTGTTGAGAGACTGGGCCAGGCAGAGCGAGGCGCAGTTGTGGCCCAGGCTTGGGGCAGAAGTGACTCTCTTCGAGGCCATCTACTTGCTACAGGGACCAGCCCAGCCGGGGCTGCCCGAGGGGGCCCAGCAGGCTCTGCCTTGCTGTCACCTCATAAGTCTTTTGCCTCATACTTTTCACGTTTTTAAGAAAGCAAAGAGTGATTACTGGGTATAATTTTTTGTTCATAAAGGTTATGATATAAATCTATAGTTATTTCCTAAGTCCCAACCCATAGAAATGGGTTGATGTTAACACATTTTTCAGACCTGTTTCACTTAACAGAATTTTCTGCCCAGTCACAGATTTGTGGGGGTATTTCTTGGTTTTCTAAGAAAGTCCTAACTTCTCTTGGAGGTGGATATTCTAGTCCTCTTGTGGCCTGCCCCACCTGCCTTCTGTGGTTCGCACAGAGCATCAAAGGAAGTGCCCCTGTGCCAGCCACACAGATTCAGGCTGTTCCCTACAGATGCCAGCTGATTCTTTGCCTCTGCTACTTTGAAGCCTCCAGGAATGTGCTTCTCTCATCTCTCCAAATTCTGTCTGTCCTCCTAGGCCCTGTTCCTTTGTGCGATCTTTGTAATTATTTCTAGGTTCAAAAATACCAAATCCTAAATTTACTTCGCAACCATCCCTACACGAAGGATGGAACTTGGATTTGCATAATAGTGGAATTTTACGTGTTACAACCTAAATCCCCTCCATTTCAGTCTGTTACTATTACCTCTGCCCACTAAGCCAGTCCTACCTGGTGAATAAAATTTCTTCCATATGAATAATAAAAATAATTTTTCCCTATTTTTGCGCGTCACCATGAAGGAAGTACAGGTGGGTCTTTTTCTTTTCTTCAGATGTGTCTTTTAAAATATTTTATTTGCAGAGTTACAGGAAGCTGTTTGTTTTACTGAAAAACAGTAATATGGGAAGAAGTCAAGATGAAAAGGTGATGTGTGATATTTTGCTATGTATACTTGGCAAGTCTGATCACCAGAGCACTCCTTATGAGGAGCCAGAACGAACTCACATGAACAAATTTCTGCCCATTCAGAGTATATTTCTAAGTAGTAATTTTTGTCTATTTGTAGGATGTCGACTTTAAAAGTAATTGACTTATTTTCCCTCAAAGTCTGATTAGATTTTATGATTTAATCTGTGCCATTTCTGAGTCATGAGCTCATTTCCTAGCATTTATGACCAAGTTTAGACAACATGACATCCGCTGCTCTTAATACCTTCTAGAGCAGTGGTTCCTAGAATGAGGCCATATACCTCAGAATCAACTGGGAGGCAAGTTTTCAATGTAATTATTGCATTTACCCTGAATATCCTAAATCTCTAAGTATAGCCTGTATCTGTACATCAGAAAGCTCTTGGAAGATTCTTGTGTACATTAAGTTTTTAGAATCCCCAGAGACTTTTAATTGAGGAAAGGGGGAGGAAAAAAGTGGTATTTCAGAATCCTCTGGAAAGTTTCTTTGAGACAGAGACAATTCCTGACTGGCCTTCACAACCTTGGCCACACTTCTCTTTCTGTAGTACTATGTCCACTTCCTCATCCCCACATGTACCTACGGCACCATGGCTACATTTTCCAGCGTGTTTGAATGATAATTTGTTAAAAAAAAAAAAAGAAAGAAAGAAAGAAAAAGCCTTCCTTGGTCTGCCAGCCTTGGGAACATGGCCATTAGGTCCCTTTTTAGGGAAGCACTATACAAGAACTATGAAGACCTGTGGTATAGGGAGCTTTATGTAAACCAGTGTTAGCCAAATGTTCTCTCCCCACCCTCTTCTTTCTTTTTCTCTTTTACTTTCTCTCTTCCTCTTTCTTTTTTCCCTCTTTCTCTCTCTTTTAAAAATCTAGCATTTATTTGTGGCTCACAGAACTGGTTTTGAAGGAGTCCACTTTGGAAAACATTGTTTTGGCCACTGCACGCAGCCCAGCTCTACTTTAGCATCTGGGGGACACAGGGCAAAAGCCCGGGACACAGTAAAGTGCACAGAAACAAAGTTGATTTAAGGGCAGAGCACTGGGGAGAGACCACTTATCAGACTGCCAGTCCCCCTCCTCTGGCCTTCCTCTTCCTTGACACAAAATTAGGTCAGTTCATAACCCTACAATGTTTTTTTTTTTTTTTTTCCCTACAATGGTTTGTAAGTGTTCAAGCAAAAGGAAGAGTCACGGGTCTGTCACTTTAAATTGAAAGTTAGAAATGATTAAGATTAGTGAGGAAGATGTGTCAGAAGCTGAGAGAAGCCCAAAGTTAGGCCTGTTGCATCAGTTAGCCAAGATGTGAATGTAAAGGAAGTTCTTGAAGGAAAGTAGAAGTGCCATTCCAATGGTGAGCACATGAGGGATAAGAAAGCGAAACAGCTTTACTGCTTATATGGAGAAAGTTTTAATGATCTGGATAGAAGATCACACCAGCCACAACATTGCCTTAAGCCAAAGCCTAACCCAGAGCAGGGCCTTGTCTCTCTTCAGTTCTGTGAAAGATGAGACAGATGAGGAAGCCGCAGAAGAGTCTGAAGCTAGTAGAGGTGGTTCATGAGGTTTAAAGAAAGAAGCTGTCTGCATAACATAAAAGTGCAAAGTGAGGCAGCAAGTGCTGATGTAGAAGCTACAGCAAGTTATTCAGAAGATCTAGCTCAGATCATTAATGAATGTGCTACACTAAACAGATTTTTCAGTGTACTCTTCTTTTGGAAGAAGATGCCATCTGGGACTTCCATAGCTAGAGAAAGGTCAATGCCTGGCATAAAGCTTCAAAGGACAGGTTGACTGTCTTGTTAAGAGGCTCATGCAGCTGGTGACTTTAAGTTGAAGTCAAAGCTTATTTCCCATTCCAAAAATCCTAGGGCCTTTAAGAATTATGCTATGCTTTAGAAATGGAACAATGCCTGGATGACTGCACATCTGTTTATAATATGGTTTCCTGAATATTTTAAGCCCATTGTTGAGATCTACCTACTACTCAGAAAAAAAAGATTCCTTTCAAAATGGTACTGCTCATTGGCAGCGTCCCTGAGCTCTGACAGAGATGTACAGTGAGATTCATGTTGTTAGTATGCCTGCTAACACAACATCCATTCTGTAGCCCATGGATCGAGCAGTAATTTTGACTTAAGCCCTGTTATTTAAGAAAGGCATTTTACAAAGTTACAGCTGCCAGTTAGTGATTTGTCTGATGGATCTGGGCAAAGTAAATTTGAAATCCTCTGGAAAGGATTAACTTTCCAGATGCCATTAAGAACACCAATGAGGGGATCCCTGGGTAGCTCAGTGGTTTGGCCCCTGCCTTTGGCCCAGGGCACGATCCTGGAGTCCCAGGATCGAGTCCCGCGTCGGGCTCCTGGCATGGAGCCTGCTTCTCCCTCCTCCTGTGTCTCTGCCTCTCTCTCTCTCTATGTCTATCATAAATAATAAATAAATAAATATCAATAAAAAGAACACTAATGATTCATGAGAAGAAGTAAAAATATCAACATGAGCAGGAGTTTGGAAGAAGTTGATTCTGACCAATATGGATGACCTTGAGGGGCTCAAGACTTCAGTGGAGGGAGTAAACTGCAGATGAGGTAGAAATAGCAAGAGAATTAGAAGTGAATCTCAAGATGTGACTGGATTATTGCAATCTCATGATAAAACTTTTACAGGTGAGGAGTTAGTTCCTATGGATGAGCAAAGGAGGTGGTTTCTTGAGATGGAATCTACTGGTGAAGATGCTCTGAATATGGTTGAAATGACAACAAAGGATTTAGAATATTACATAAACTTAGTTGATCAGCAGCAGGGTTTGACAAGATTGAATCCAATTTTGAAAGAAGTTCTATGTGGCTAAAATACTATCAAACAGCATCACATGCCATAGAGAAAGCATTCGTGAAAGGAAGAATCAGTTCAAGTAGCAATTTTATGGTTGTCTTAGTGTATTTTAAGAAATTGCCACAGTCCCCTCAACCTTCAGCAGCCACCACCTGATCAGTTAGCAGCCATCAACATGTAGGCAAGACCCTCCACCAGCAAAAAGACTAACTACAGCTGGCTGAAAGCTCAGATGATAGCAATAGAGTATTCTTTTTTTTTAAAGATTTTATTTATTTATTCATGAGAGAGAGAGAGAGAGAGAGAGAGAGAGAGAGGCAGAGACACAGGCAGAGGGAGAAGCAGGCTCCATGCAGGGAGCCAGACGTGGGACTTCATCCCAGGTCTCCAGGATCAGGCCCTGGGCCAAAGTTGGCGCCGAACTGCTGAGCCACCCGGGCTGCCCAAGAGTATTTTTTAATTAAGATATGTACATTGTTTTTTTAGACATAGTGCTATTGCACACTTAATAGACTGCAGTATAGTATGAACATAACTTTTATATATACTGGGAAGCTAAAAATTCATTTGGTTCACTTTATCATGGTGGTCTGAAACTGAACCTGTAACATCTCCAAGGTATGCCTGTATCTACCACCACTCATGTTTTAAGATGTACTGGGATTTGTTTTGATCAGGCATGGCAAAATGTGGAAATTATTGTTGTGAAGGAAAAAGTTTTTCTTACAGTTTCCTAGAAACAGGAGGCACAGCATGCCTCCAGGGCCACACCGGAAAGAAAGCACAGGTTTGGTCGGAAGCAGAGTGAGTGAGGAGAAGGAGCAAGAGCCTTTATCAGTGGTTTCTTCAGGAAAGGCAAGGAAAGTGGGTTTAGGATCGGCTAGTTTAAATAATTTCAGTGGGCTCTGGGGTGTAGGATGCTCTGGAATTGTCTGGTTCCTGGCTCTGGATGATTAAGGCAGGAGAATATTGCCTGGAGTATGAGAGTTGGATGAGGGAGGTCGGTGGGGGGTGTGGGCTCTGGATTGGTTGGTGTGCAAATGGAAGGTGGGCTTGCAGACTTCCTGTCTCTAGAAATTGGCTAGTTCTGGGAGGGGCCATCTCTCCAGGGCCAGCAAGGCCTTAGATATCAAAGCATCAGAAACACAGAAACTAGAAAGGCATGATTTCACCTTCTTCTCCAACTTTGCCTGGGTGCTGGCTCACCCTTCAGTCTCTGTTCCTTTCTACTGTGCTTCTGTTGGTCTTTATCTTACTGGACCCTTGGATGCTTTGCTGCTGTTGACTCCTCCCTATCCTTATGTTTCCACAATTATTCCTGCTTTACTCTTCTTTCTCTGACAACTCTTCTTTCTCTCCCTGACCACCTGTCTTTTGGCTTTCTTGTAAGGTGCATCTCAGGGTTCGGTTCCCAGTCATGAATTTTTTGCACTCAAAATGTTCCCTTGTGTGATCCCATGCACCTTTATAGTTCCAACTATTGCTTCTGTGTGGCCCTTCTGTATCTTTTAAATGCATACATCCACTCTTTACTGAATATCTCCACTGCAGGAATTTCAAACTTGACCTTCCCGCATCTCAACCATGCATCTGCCTTACTACTTCTGGTCTCAGTAAAAAGGCTATGTTTCTCAGGTGCCATGAATTGACTATTGGATCAACAGCACTGTGGGGTTTTCCAGTGGTTCAGTCTGTTGACAAGCTTCTAACTACCTAACCCAACTAGACCATAGTAGGTCTGGATCCTGTTTACTGCTTGCACCAATCTACTGACATTTTGTACTTTTTACAGTTTTCTGGACTCATTTGATATTTTGTCCTTAGGTGACATACGACATCACATTAGAATTTTGTCATAATATTTTATAACTTAGGATTTGGGAAGCTGCTTTAGAAATTATTTAGTTTACCTCAATGTATAAAGGAAGAAACTGAGACATCTTTGAAAGTATGTGGCTTGGCACAGCATTTTACTTTGGTTGAGAAGGAGAGTGACTGTCAGGTTAGGAGAGGTTAGAGCACACAGTTGGGTACAGAGTGTGATTCAATATGGCTGTATTTTCTAACTCAGATAATTTTAAATAATTTGTGTCCTTTGTAGAATCATTGGTGAAATATTACAGTTAACTGTGCATTCTAAAAATATATTCTATCAAGTACCATATCACAATTTTAGAAATAATTTAAACACAAGGTGTATTAAAAATCAGGTCACCCATATATATCACACATACATGTCCTTGCTCTGTCAGATGAGAGAGCCTTGAAGCAACTGTACCCAAGTAGCAACAAGTGCACCTATTACCCAGATTTTGGTTTCTAATACCGTTCTCTAATAAAGGAAATAGACTCTGTGGAGAAAAGGCTGAGACCAAGATTGAAGCAAAGAATGATTCAAGATGAGCCTGCAACATCTGGTAGTGCTAGAAAGTAAAGAAGTGATAAAAATGCAAAGCAACACTGACACGACCAACTAGAAAGAATTCTGATGACACTTTTTTACTAGAAAGAATTCTGTCTTGTCTTCTAATAATCACAAACTACAAATACACATTAGAAGTAATAATGTTATAGCTTATTGATCAACAGGTACTTCAGTACTGGGTATGCAGAAGTTCTGTATCTTGCTTGGAAGATTTAGATGATTGCTTTCAAACTTGACCTCCTGTGAGTTCTTGTTAAAGTGATTTTATAGCGTTGGGCCTGGAATTCTGTATTCCCTACAAGATTCCCAAAGATCCATAGAACTGAGTTATAAAGTCAGAAGCCACTAAGAGCTATAAGGGTGCCCTCTTGGGAGCTGATGCTGCTCATCTAGGGAACATACTTTTGAATAGCAAAAATTTAAAAAAAAAAAAACACACAATTAGTTTGAGTTTACTTCATTATCCTGAGTATAATTTGCAGCTGAAATAGCATTAGGCCCCTCAAAAGTTACATATAAAGAGATTTAATCTCCTTATTTGAAAATCTTAAATTCTAATAAAAGAGGCATGATGTAAAAACATATATTAGCATATATACAAATATATGTAAGTACAGATGCCATGTAATTATACAAGGACAGAAGAAAGTACATACGTTATGACAATGTATTTAAAAATCCTACAGGTATTTTTTAAAGATATTGCTTGCTTGAGTATGTTTATCATTAGCTTTTTTCTCTCTCAAATATTTAATAAATTTCAGTGTTTTTCAAATACTGATATTTCCCATGAGCAATTTTCTCAACACTGGCGTAATAAATCTGGTTTTTATTTTTATTTATTTATTTATTTATTTATTTATTTATTTATTTATTTATTTATTTTGGTTTTTATTTTTGAAAGTGGAACTGCTTTTATATATTGAGAAAGAGGGATACCTGGGTGGCGCAGCGGTTTGGCACCTGCCTTTGGCCCAGGGCGCGATCCTGGAGACCCGGGATCGAATCCCACGTCGGGCTCCCAGTGCATGGAGCCTGCTTCTCCCTCTGCCTATGTCTCTGCCTCTCTCTCTCTCTGTGTGTGACTATCATAAATAAATAAAATTTAAAAAAATTTAAAAAAATATATATGTTGAGAAAGAGAATAGTTGTGTCATTTCTATCTAAAGGAAGTGATAACTCAAGAAACTATATACTAAAAATTTCAATTTAGGTACCTGAAAAATGCATAAAATGAAGGAATGCCCTTCAATATCTAATACAGTACAGATGATCAACTAACATGGCTTTGTAAAGAATCAATCAAGTCAGAGCAAATATCTTTATGGTAAGATATTAAAAATTATATGGAGGTAGAAATGAACACTAAGCATTTCCTATTCCTTTTGTTTTCTAGTTGTTCTGTCTTACAACTTTTTATTCCACATGATCTCTGCTCATTTAGAAAAATTTTAATTTAAATTCCAGTTAGTTAATATACAGTGTAATATTAGCTTCAGATATACAATATAGTGATTCAACACTTCCATACATCACACAGTGCTCATCAGAGCAAGTGCCCTCCTTAATGCCATCACCTATTTCACCCATCTCCCATCCCCCACACCTTTGGTAACTGTTCTCTATAGTTAAAAGTCTGTTTCTTGGTTTGCCTTTCTCTCTTTTCCCCCTTCGCTCATTTGCTTTGTTTCTTAATTTCCACATATGAGTGAAATCATATGCTATTTGTCTTTCTCTTATTGACTCAAAATATAAAATGCTTCATGAATTTGCATGCCATCCTTGTACAGGGGCCTTGCTAATCTCTGTATTGTTCCAATTTTAGTATACATGCTTCAGAGGTGGGCACAATCTTTGCTCATTTTGAACAAGAGAAATAGGAACAAGAAATAAGCCTGTCAGCATTTATATACATATTTGTATATGCAAGTCTATTTCTTCATAAAAATATTCTTGTACACTTAAAATTGATGATGGTGGCCGTTGTCAACTGTTTTGGTTAAATAAAACCTAGAAATTTTCACAATTAGATGAATGAGATAGAAGTTTTTGGGATTCTTGTCATGTATTACTAAGAGATCCTTTTGTTTTTAATCCATTTGTATATGTAATTTTTTATACCTTGTAGTTAGATGCTAGAGGAATGAAGTATGTGTTTGAGGCTTGTGCTATCCAGTATGGTAGCCACTCGATACATGTGGCTATCAAGCACTCACTATGTGGCTAGTCCAAGTTGAGATGTGCTATAATTGTTAAATACATTTCAGATTTTGAAAACTTAGTATAAAAATGTAAAATGTCTTATTAATAATTTTAGAGTATGGAATATGTGTTGAAATGATAACATTTAGGTTATATTGGGTCAAGCAAAATATTAGGTACATTTTTAAAAAGATTTTTATTTACTTATTTGAGTGAGAGACAAAGCAGGAGCAGGGGGAGGGGCAGAGAGGGAGAAGCAGGCTCCCTGCTCAGGATGGTACTCAATCCCAGGATCCTGGGATCATGACCTGAGCAAAAGGCAGATGCTTAACCAACTGAGCCACTCAAGCACCCCTGTTAAGTAAATTTTACCTATTCCTTTTTACTTTTTAAAATGTGGCTACTAAAATATTTGAAATTAAATATGTGACTTACATTTCTGTAGTGGAGATTGCTTTTTAAGATTATTTTCCATCAGAGATCAACCATCTAATCTTGTTTGGGAGTAGTTCTCTCATATTCGATTGCTCACTTAATATTTTGTTGATTAAAGACTATCACAGGTGCATCTAACACTAAATACAAATTCAGTTTCAATCAGCTATTTTTTTATTGAAAAATTAGTACAGATTTATGTTCAAAATTAAAATTAATAATGAGTATGCATCAAAAAGTACCTCTTCTCTCCTACCCCTGGAATCCTACTTCTCGGTGCTTTTCTGCATGTAATTGACAGTCACCATTACAGTTTTAAATACAAATTGCAGTGTGCTACAGAGCAGACATTGGCAAACCTTTTCTAGAAAGGGCCAGATAGTAAAAATTTGACTTTTTGGGCTCTCTGATCTCTGCAACAACCACTCAACTTTATATTATAGCATGAAAGCAGGCATAAACCACATGTGAACAAATGAGCATGGCTGTGTTTCAATAAAACCTTACTTGCAAAAACAAGACATAGGGCAGGATTTGACTCCTGAGGCTAGTACTATTCAATAGAAATAGAATAACTTATCTTTAAACCTTTTGACTTATTTCTTTTCATCTATTCTTGTTTCTCCGTACTCGGCATTATGATCTTTTAAAAATGCATCTTGACTGTGTCATTCTCTTGCCTAAAAGTTTCACTTCTCATCACTCGTAGAATTAAGGACAAAGCTTATAAAGGACAGTAAGGGGGCACCTGGGTGGCTCAGTCAGTTGAGCATCTGCCTTCAGCTCAGGTCATGATCCCGGGATCCTGGGAACCAGCCCCAGTCAGGCTCCCTGCTAAGTGGGAAGTCTGCTTCTCTCTCTCCCTCTACCTGCTACTCCATCTGCTTGTGCCCTCTCTCTTTTAAATAAATAAATAGGGATCCCTGGGTGGCGCAGCAGTTTGGCGCCTGCCTTTGGCCCAGGGCACGATCCTGGAGACCCGGGATCGAATCCCACGTCGGGCTCCTGGTGCATGGAGCCTGCTTCTCCCTCTGCCTATGTCTCTGCCTCTCTCTCTCATTCTGTGTGACTATCATAAATAAATAAAAATTAAAATAAATAAACTAACTAATTAATTAAAAAATCTTTTAAAAAAATAAATGAAGGACTATAAGGCCATCTGTGTCTGCTGATTCTGACTTCTCTCTTCCTCACCTTCTTTCTCTCTTAGCCATCCTGGACATTTGTCAAATATTTGGACACAAGTAATCTTTTCCTCTGCAGAGACTTTTTGGCCTAGGGTGCCCTTCCTATATCCTATTACCTAGATATCTCTTGCTATTCACTTACGTGTCAACTTAAATATCAGTTTTCTGTTTCATTTAGGTCAACCTGGTTTATGTTCCTATATTGTGTTTGTACTTTGAAATGAAAATTCAAGTGTATTAAAAGTATGGTTTTCTTGGTGTCCTATACTCAGCTCAAGCAAGGCTTTGATTGTTTCCGTTTGAAGGTAACAACCTACTTGAGGAATCATCCTCTCGGCTTTTAATTTCTTAGACATTTGCCAGATGCTGCATTCACAAAGCAGTGTTGTACAACCCTGCAGGTGATATCAGATGAACAAAACATTGTCTCTTTCACCAAGAAGCCCACAGTATTGCGGTGGAGACAGACATGTGTCCAGACACTATCATGCCAATCAGAATGTGACAATTGCCTTTATAGAAATTAGGAAGTATGCTATGAGGGTGTAGAAGAGGACTATCATCCTGAGTGTCATCATTGTGCCAGGTCTACAGATTAAAATCATAGCTGAAAATGCTTTTGGAACTGGAATTATTTATAGTCTTTGAACACGCTTTAGCCATAGAATTCCAACTGCACTCAACTGACTCAGCTTTCAGAAAGGACCAGATGAACTACATTGCTAGATAAACTGTGGAGTATTGACATCACAGGAGCCAATTTACTATGCTTGGTTTCACAGAAACCAAGTTCAGGCTGGAATATAATTAATTAGAACACCAAAATATTCATATAAAGAAATAGTTACATCTTCACTGTTGCTTTGTTTTTCTGAATTAGTACGGATAGTTTGTAAGTGCAGATGTTTATTGAGAGTGAGAAGGGAGCTCCATTCCAGCTGCATTCCTACCACCTTGACTGTGCTGCTTTGGACTCACACTGGGCTGCCAGGAGCAAGCAGCTCTGTATGCAATGAAGGGCTCTCACACTCCTCATTAACTGTAGGATATACAGGGCTGTTAGAATTCCCATGTCTTCATTCTACACTGCCTGTCTCAACAAGATTACACAAATCAATGTGGGCATTCAGACTCTTTATAGGGAAGTGAAAAACTTTCACAGCCCCATTAGACTCATATGATGTTTGACATGCGCAGGAGTACATCTATGATAAGGACATTGCAAGTTTAAATCTATAACTGCCAATGAACATTAGGTTCAAAATTTTATTTCAGTTTTCTTTTCCACTAAAAGAATTGCATATACTCCCAAATTGTTTTTTTAAATTAAAACAATGTTTTCTGGATGGTATATTTATAGTGACTACAAAGTGAAGAGTAAGATGTAGTTCAATTTTTAATTTCCACTTATTTAAAATGCAAAGCCCTTTAAGTAGGACAGCATCGTGAGCTGGAGAACATTTCACTTCATTTATTCTGGCTATTGTGGGGAGAGTGGGTTGGAGGAAGTAGACCTGTCAGGAGGATGCTGCCTAGGCACAGTCACAAAAGTATGATGGTTTGGGACTAGACTTGTGTTAATGAGAGGAAACAAAGTGCATGGGCCTTGGGTAATTTCTGGAGGTGGCATATGTAAAATGAAGCGATGGGTTGTGTACAGTAGAGAGGGAAAGAAGGAAAGTCAGGCATACCTTCTTGATATCCAGCTTGAGCAAAGGGTAAGAAGTAATTCCATGTACGAGACCAGGGAACATGAGGGAGAAATAGGTTTGGCATAGCAGATCATCAGTTCTGGCTATGAACTTTTGAGAAGTCTGCAAGTTTCCTTAGTAGAGTAGTAGAGCAAGCAGGTAGCTCTGGGGGAGGTTTGGAGCCCCAGGGAATGGTCAGGGCTAGAGATACTGATTTGGAATCAGCTGCACAAACTGCCATCAGTTCATGTGTTGGGTGGTTGTCATTATGACCTATTTATAAGGATATTTTTAATGGTGGAAATGCAGCCAAGAAATTTAAAGCTTTTTTTCTTTTCAGAAACATTCCCAAGAGATTTGAATTTAAAAGACAAATTCATAAAGCATTTCACAGGTAAGCACAAAATTTATCCATGATTCGATTAAATAAAAAAGATTTTTATGCAAATTACTGTGATAGGCATTAGGGATCTGAAGATAAATATCTGTAAGAAGCTCAACAGTCCAGTTAGGAAAGTGGACAAATGCCATTAACTTGTATTAACAGTAATATAAACCAGATTTTGGTAAATGATAGAAGTGTAAATATAGTTTTAGGGATGCACATAAAGTGAATAATTTTACCAAAAACTACCAAAAAAGGCTTATAGTGGACATGATATTTAAGTTGAGCTCTAAGTGGTGAATAGTATTTTCCTGGATGAGAGAAGCATTCTGGTCAGAAGGAATTCTTTGAGAACTTGGTAGTCTGGGGGCAGGACAGGTAGATGGTGTGGCTGCACTGTGGGGTAAGTTTAGGTAAGAGGTGTGTGTGGCCACTGGGCAAAAAGTATAGCTGAAAAGGTAGGTTGAGTCATATTGTAAAGAATCCTAAGTGGTATATATTCTAAGGAATTTAGACTGTGCTCTCCAGCCAGTGGGGACAATAGAAGTTTTTTGAATGGGGGAAAGACAGACTTTCATATGCTTTTTTTTTTTAAGATTTTATTTACTTATTCATGAGACACACACAGAGAGAGAGAGAGAGAGAGAGAGAGAGAGAGATCGAGGCAGAGACACAGGCAGAGGGAGAAGCAGGCTCCATGGAGGGAGCTCGATGTGGGACTCAATCCTGGGACTCCAGGATCATGCCCTAGGCGCTAAACCACTGAGCCACCCAGGGATCCCTCTTTTTTTTTTTTTTTAAGATTTATTTATTTATTTGAGAGACAGAGATATATATATAGAGAGAGCACAAGATGAAGCCTGGGGGTGGGGGGTTTGGAGAGGTGCAGAGGAAGAGAGAGAAAAAGTCTTAAGCATACTCCACACTGAGCTCAGAGCCTGACAGGGGGCTCAATCTCATGATCCTGAGATCTCGACCTGAGCCGAAATCAGGAGTCTGGCACTTAACTGACTGCACCACCCAGGTGCGCCCATATGCCATATCTGAAGCACAGATGGAAGACTCTCTCATGACACTCTTTTGTTCTTCATATCAACTTTGTGAGTCATTGGAAATCACCCTGTGCCTCAAGTTCTAGCAAATCACTAAATTATTTTGAACCAAGCACCCTCACCTTCACCATTGCTATTGCCTGGCTTTTCCTAATCATCCCAGCTCACTTTCATTGTTTTACATCTCAGGCCTGTAGTTTGGGAAAGATACGGTTTTCTCACTTAACCAAAGCCAGTGGCCATATTTGCTAATTAACTTCAGAATGATGGTTGTGAGCATGAAGCCAAACCCACTTAAGCCCCAGCAGGTGTATCCTTACACCTAATTTCCAAGTGTTGAGTGTTTCTAGGCACTCTGTTCACAGCACTGTGGGCCCTTCTACCATTTCCAAAACATCAGACTGAAAGTGGGGATGAGTTTTGGTGGGGACTCTCTGGGACTTGTGGCAATAAATAAGGGAAGTCTCAAGGCCCTGCTCACTTTACAACAGTTTGACACTAATAAGACACGAATCACTATAATTAGAAAATGGAAAGTATGTAATCATTAATTCCTATTACACAAAAAACTGAGGAACAGAAGTGTGAATGAAGGATATTTATTTTTTATTCTTCACACCTACTTGATTTGCTTTGTACAGATTTTTTTTTCTGTGTAGAGCTTTTCCCTCTTAATTATTCTGAAGAGTTCTTCAGTAACTGAAGTTTCCATTATGTGAAATGTTGATAATTGGTAATGAATTCAGATGATTTTTCACAGATTACAATTTATTACCTCCCACAGAGCTGGGGTAAGAAGTGCTCTCAGATAAGTTCTTCTAAAGGCATGGAAGGATGTTAAGTTGCAGTTGTATTATTTCCATCCATAAAGTGCTAGCAAATTTGTTTGGAAAACATGCCTATGTTTATCATAATCATTCTTTCCCTGTCTACCAGGACCAGTCACATTTTCAGCTGAATGTAGCAAACATTTCCATCGACTCTATCACAATACCAGGGATTGCTCAACACCAGCTTGTAAGTAGTTTGGATAGTCTTTTCTTTAAAAAAAATCTTTATCCAACAATAATAAATGCACATAATTTTAAACTTCAACTGTCTGTGGCTGGGAATAGACTAAACATCGTATGAGATGCTATTTATAACACTGACGGTACTCAAATGAGGGCTTGTGTGTGCTGTTGACAGTGCAAGGGATGGAACAGCGTTGTAATTGGAACTATATTCAAATCTGAGAATAGCCAGATTTCCCCTAGGATCGAAATGTTTGTCAGGATTTAAACCTTTTATCATTTTTCAAATTCCTTGGCATAAATGAAAAAAAAATAAGTCAGAATTTCCTCTTAAGTTATTTTAAAGTAAATAGTTTCATGCTGTATCATTTTTAAAATGAGTGATAAATTGTTCTGAATAATGGTAGCATAGTGTTTTAAAGGTTGCCCTAAAAAATTATTTTGGACATTTAGGTTTCTGAAGTTAATATTAATATCAAATGTAATCTTTAAATACTATCATTGAAACTGCCCGAATTGGGATCATGTGTGGTAATAATTCAGCTGGTTGTTTTAAAAGTCCTTTCTAGGGATCCCTGGGTGGCGCAGCGATTTGGCGCCTGCCTTTGGCCCAGGGCGCGATCCTGGAGACCCGGGATCGAATCCCACGTCGGGCTCCCGGTGCATGGAGCCTGCTTCTCCCTCTGCCTATGTCTCTGCCTCTCTCTCTCTCTCTCTCTCTCTCTCTCTGTGACTATCATAAATAAATAAAAAAAAATAAAAAAATTAAAAAAAAATAAAAGTCCTTTCTAAACCTAATCTTCCCTTTTAAGGGAAATGATTTAAGCATTTTGATTCTTTTTAACTAGGTTGGTCATCTTGAAGCATGTTTAATTTTACTCAAGATGTTGAGTCAGAATTGTTGTAAGTTTTTCTAAAACTGCTTGTGTTCACTGATGAGGAGATATTAATCATACTGGAATCAAAGCAAGCTAAGTGGTAGCACAGCATAGGGGAGAAATCTCACTCTTTGAACTCAGGCTACTCATTAGTTATGAGATTCTTGACATTTGGATGCTGGTTTTTCATCTCTGTCTCTAAACTGAGAGAACAGTAGCATCTACCTCCTTGTGTTACGATAATTAATAAGAAAGCCCAGGTTAAGCATTTATTGTGTTCGGTGCTTATTAAATTTTAGCTCTTGTTAGTAATTAGTGACAATAGTAGCATGGTTTTCCCCACATTCTTAGTAATACAGAATTTTAATCATCTGAATTCATTACCAATTTTCCTTTAAATGTTTTTTTTCTAGATTACAAGAGATGTGCTAGATTGCTAACAAGATTAGCAGTGAGTCCCCTGTGCTCACAGACCTAGAAGACTTGCCCTGTGAGTATGTATTTATTGATTTTTTTCTTATTCTGTTTAATAAGCTTTCTTAAGAAATTTTGAACCATTTTAAAAATCCAGGTAGCTGATTTTAGCAACACCTAAAGAACTTAACCTGTGGATTTTATACTTAGTGTTAAAGCTTGGTCTAAATGCATAGACTCCTTTATTGAGTTAATTAAAAATGCCCTCAACAGTGATTAAATTAAGATAAACAGCTTTTGGGAAGCCTTACCAGTCCTGAGTGATTTTCAAAAGTATTTCAGTTTTTAGGTTATATTATTATTGTACAGAAACCTCATGCAGATAGACATTAGATGAACAAAACTAATTAAGCTCTACTTTTTTTTAACTGGCCAAAAGATATAATAAAAGTAGCACTGGTTTCTAAAATTTTGGTTTATGCAGGATATATAACAAAAAAGAAAGTATTGTAAGAGTAAAAGAAAAAGCAAGGGATCAAAATATGATGAACATGTAATCATCATCTGCTCTAGTATATACTTTACCAGAGTGAAATAGTAAGTCAGAATTTTCATTCTGGCTACATTATCCAAGGAGCCCTAGGACAATAAAGTATTTGGATAACCTAAATAAATGCAATGAAAATTATAATATTTATTTACAGAAGTAGCTTCAATACAAGAGACTGAAAGATATTCCTTTTTTTTTTTTTTTTTTTTTTTTTCCTTCAGAGATTTTTCTACCTGTAATTCTTTCCCAGGGCAGAACAAAGCTAACACATTTTTGGGTCAGTGTTTCAGCACCACGGACAAGTCCCTTTGAAGAAACTTTTTCATAGCTTGTGAGAGTAGAAATGGAAGTCACAGAATACGTATAATATAGAAGTATCTGTGACTATCTTGATTTGGCCTCTATAAATTAATCTACACCAAGTAACTGCATGGGGATTTACTTGTCTTTCAGGTTCATTGTGCCAATTAATTACTAAGACAATTCTGACTTCTTGTTACTATTTTTAAAAATTTTTTTTAAATATTTTATTTTTTCATGAGAGACAGAGAGGCAGAGACATAGGCAGAGAGAGAAGTGGCGGTCTGTGGGGAGCCGATGTGTGACTTGATCCTAGGACCCCGGGATCACAACCTGAGGCAAAGGTAGATGCTCAAACACCGAGCCACCCAGATGTCCCTGTTGTTACTATTTTTATTCTTATTTAAAAAGCAATGATAAATTAATGGTAATAATTGGCACTCTTAATTCTGCATATTTATAGCTGCAAACTTTAAAAAAATCTCTTTCTCTTTTTAAGAAAAATTTATTTGTTTTAGAGAGAGAGAGAGAGAGTGCAGCAGGGAGAGGCAGAGGGAGAGGGAAAGAGAGTTTGAAGTAGATTCTGCACTGAGCATGGAGCCCGATTTGGGGCTCGATCTTATGACCCTGAGATCATGACCTGTGCCGAAACCAAGAGTTGAATGCTTAACCAACTGCACCACCCAGGTTCCCCCACCAATTCTCTTTTTTTTAGATTAAGAAAATGAGCTAGATCATTTTAGTGTTCAGTGGCAAGATACTTAAATTAATAACTCTCAATATATCTCAAAACTTAAATAATACAAAACATGAATAAATAAAAGAAAATTCATTAGGCTATTGAAATGATCTAAGTCAAGGTACATTTATCTTTCTTTGTCTTACTATATTTTATGTGAATGAGTAAATTTACATAAAGTCCAAAAACAACATAATAACTACAAAAATTCTCAAAAAACAAGTACTGTACTATAATTCAAAGTATTGCATGTAGAGTTAAATTCTCCTGGGACTAGATTCATGGCAGACAGAGCTGATAAATATTCCCCTTGGGAATTTCAGAGTTAGAGATTTAGTGATTTTCTCTATAGGAGTATCTGTTTCTAATTATTTATTCAACAAAGTATTAGAAACACAGTATTACAGATTAATAAATTTTGTGAATATATATGTAAGTGAGGTGATGTCAAATTCATTTTTTGGTTTATTTAGGTATCATAAAACTGGGACTCTTGGGTGGCTCAGTGGTTGAGTGTCTGCCTTCAGCTCAGTTCATGATCCCAAGTCCTGGGATTGAGTCCCACATCAAGCTCCCCACAAGGAGCCCGCTTTTCCCCCTATGTCTCTGCCTTTCTCTGTCTTTCATGAATAAATAATATCTTTTTTAAAAATTTTATTTATTTTTTTAATTTTTTAATTATTTTTTAATAATAAATTTATTTTTTTTATTGGTGTTCAATTTGCCAACATACAGAATAACACCCAGTGCTCATCCCGTCAAGTGCCCCCCTCAGTGCCCGTCACCCATTCACCCCCACCCCCCGCCCTCCTCCCCTTCCACCACCCCTAGTTCGTTTCCCAGAGTTAGGAGTCTTTATGTTCTGTCTCCCTTTCTGATATTTCCTACCCATTTCTTCTCCCTTCCCTTCTATTCTCTTTCACTATTATTTATATTCCCCAAATGAATGAATTTAAAGTATCTAAAAGTACTGACTGACTCTTCTTCCCCTTCACACAAACATTAACCTGCATTCTCAGGATTAGTTACAAATTGAGCCCACATTTTATTTTAAGCAAAATAAAATAAAATGTAACTATATTAAAACTATGCATATTTTTGAGTACATTAGAAACCAGATTATAAATGACATTTTTTCTTCTTTCCCTGACAGACATTTCTTAAGAATATAAATCTGATTTGATGAAAAAAAAGTGCCTGGAATCATATTAGCTGTACGAAGAGATGAAACATCTGATTTTATGGTGTATTAAAATGAGTAAAATAAGAGACTTTTCAAAAATAACTGATTAGTTTTGTCCTACAAACAGTGGATTGCAAGTACAGTGCAATCTTTCTTGATTTATCTTTGTGTATAGATAATTTTGAAAATTTTAAAAAACAAAGTTTAAATCACACAGTGTATATAGAATACTAGAAAGTATGCCATCCTTTTATTTTTGCTAGATATATATTATTTTCTTACATGATGAATGTTCCATATAGGTATGGATTAAATATTTAATTATGTAAATTATATCTGACAGTGCCAGTAAGAAATGATTTTTGGTATATGATTTAAGTAATATGTTTGTTGAATAATCATGTATGAAGTCCACTTTTATAATGCTTTTTAATAATATTTAAATACATTTATTCAGAATTTGTCTTTAATTACACTAATTTGAAATATAAATTTTATTAAAACTGAAATTTGAAAAATCTGGTGTTGTTTTTTTTGAATTTTTGAATTGAATATATTTGTAGCAGAGGTTTACTATTGAGATATGATTACTATATATGTATATTTATATATAAATATGCATTTCCTAGACAGCTAACTAGTCTCCTGAGAAAATTCCTATCTTTTTGAAGTTTGAGCATATGGTAGTGCTGTCTTAAATAAAAAGAGGAGAGAAATGTATCATGGAGATAGGAGAATATAGGGGTTGCCTGGATGCTCTGTTTAGAACTTTTTAAAAAAGTAATCTCTGCACCCAGTGTAAGGCTTGACTCACAACCCTGTGATCAAGAGTTACATGCTCCACCCACTAAGTTGGCCAGATGCTCCCTGCTTACAATTTAACAACATATTCTGATACATTAGAATAGTTTCATGTAAAAACAACAATGAAAAAATGAGAACCCTACAATAAAATATTAGAAAACCCCCATCCTCTTATTTTTTATTGTCATTTTTTAAGATTTTATTTATTTGAGAGAGAGAACATGAGTGTGATTGGGGGAAAAAGGGCAGAGGGAGAGGGAAAGGGAGCGGGACAAGCAGACTCTCTGTTGAGCACAGAGCCATATGTCAGGCTTGATCCCAGGACCCAGGATCATGACTTGAGCTGAAGGCAGCCACTTAACTGACTGAGCCATCCAGGCACCCAATCCTCATCCTTATAAAGTAGACAAAGCAGGGCATTGTCAGTACAGTAATGGACTTTGCGCAGCTCGTTCCCACTGTTTGTGTTGGTGTCACAGATGCAGTGTGTCTGCACTAGCCAGTGCTTTTCTTTTGCAGTACCTTTGGTCTCTCCCATAGCTGTGTATCCTGTCTTTGTATATAAGCATACATACTCCTTTATCCATCAGCAAAACAAACTCAAAAATGCCCTTTGGTTTCAGGAATACTGTGAAACTAGATTTTCAATTTTTAGTTTTATTTATTTTGCCTATGGGCAAAGACAAATAATTATGTTTAAAAAACATCACGGGAGGGGCAGAACAGAATTTTGTGATAATGCTATGTAATAAAGAACGAGAATACCATATTTTTAGTTCATTGCACTTAACATAGTAATTATGACATTTACAACATTTAGAAAAATGAAGTAGTTTTTGCTTATACCCATTTAAGAGCTGGTGCACTATTTTTATAAAAGTGAAGAGGCGATTGAATAATGACAAGTAAGAACTTAATGATGAGACATATTTGGCTGAAATCAAGAAAATAGCCTAAAGAGCTTCATGATTAGTATGGTTTCAATAAAATACATTGTTTCAGATGAAGTTCTGTGAAATTAGATTTTAAGCATTCCCATAGATGACTGCTGTGCCTCAGAAATGTATTCTATGCCATATATATGGCATATGTAAAATGTATATATATTTAAAGCCTACAGGGATTGATTAGAAATATCTCCAGTTAAAAAGCTGTTTATTTTCTTGCTTGATACTCATTTTCTTTATATTATACTCAACAGGGAGATCTTGAGAGAGTAATGAATAAAGAGACCCTTAATTTGTCTCCATAGAGAAAATTTTCTCACATGGGGAAATAAGTGATTGAAAGATTAATAGGGTCGAACATTCATGGTTAGTAGCAAAGTAACATCCACACATCACAGAATAATATCATTGTCTAAGCAGCAAGACAGGAGGTTAACAATGTTTACTTCAGAATACTGAGAGCTAGATCAATTAAGTTGGCTGCTCTTCATATAGTCACCTAAGGGCTTCAGCAGGCAGCCCAGTGAATCTCTGAACTATCTGCATAATTACTTGACCTTCCAATTCACTTTCTATTTTTCATCCTTTGCTTTGTTTCTTTTCTAAATATTTATTTATTTTATTTATTTATTTTATTTATTTATAGCACAAGCCAGGGTTGGGCAGAGGGGCAGAGAGAGAGAGAGGAGAGAGAGAATCTTAAGCAAGCTTCACACTCAGCATGGAGCCCCATACAGGGCTCAGTCTCATGACCCCTGAGATCATGACATGAGCCAAAATCAAGAGTTGGACACTTAATCCACTGAGCCACCCAGGTGCGCCAGTACAACCTTTGTTTTGAAAGGCAAGATCCATTACTAAAACTAGTCCTTGAGAGCATCTAGAAGATAGGAAGCTTGTGTGATTTTTGGGGGGAAGGTAGGGTGGTGTAGGTATATGTGTCTCATCACTTTTCTGCATGTTAAAAATTAGAAAATCCAGGCTTGTTTGAAGTAGCCCTTCCCCCACATTATCTTGCTTAATTTGTTTCACATCATTTATCACTCTATGTGATTATGTTATTTGTCTCTTACCTACCTCTCCACAATACACAAGGTCTAAAAGAGGAGCACCTATCTTCTGAAGTATTTCTAGAGCCTAGAAAAGTGACTGGCTCATAGTAGGTGTTTTACATAATAAAGAATAAAGTCTAATGAGTGAGATTAAAGAATATATTTTAAACTTATAATAAAAAGCAAACAACGATTTATGAAACACTATTGAAAGGTTGTCTAGTTATGCAGTAAACTCATGTTTTGTGTTTCACAGAAAGACACTGAGACAAAACCCACATGACAGATTTTCCACCTCATTTCCCCTTTGTAACTGCTTCAGTTTATCCAACTCAGAGGCATGAACATGGTAGTAAAACGGGGAGAGCCATTTAACCTTGTGCATGGTGAATCAAATCCCTATAGGTCCAGGTGGCTAATGCAAATGATTCAACTGGGCTCAGGGACAGTGGCTGGTGTTCACAACCCAACAGCAGCAATGGATTTTGGCACTGATGCCATGTTAGAATTCAGCCTCCTTTGAGTTTTCTAGGAACACTGGAATCTGGACTTTGACATTAAATATCTCAACTTCTAAATGCTGGCATTTAATTAGAAAAATGCTAATACACCGTGCCAGCCAAATAAAAAATTTTGAGCCCTGTATGGCTCATGAGCTGCCATTTTTTTGACATCTTATGAACATTTGGACTTGGGAGTTGTTTTCAATTTGATTTCCTTTTATCCTCTCTGAAGAATCTTGGCTCCCTCTTCTATCTGGTCCCAATAAAGATTTAGTGATGAGTTTCTGCATTTTACCTTGGCTTTGCCCTGGCAATCCCCTAATACCCTGTTTCTAGAAATTTCTCCTGGGACCCATGCTGTGTAACCCTGGGCAAGACAAACCATATGTCCACATCTCTCAAAGTACCCTGAGATACCTCTTGATCTTTGACAAAGATGACAGTCTTTAGTTTCTTCAGCCTGTGCCAATAATGGGCAGGAAGGTGGATGGAGGGGAGAAGGAGAGAGAAGAAGAACAATCTGAGATATAGAAATAATTCTCTCCACTTGTCTTCATCTGGCCAACAAAATATTCCCTCCTGCACATCTCAAGAGCTTGGTATTAAAAATACATTTGAGTGAGTGGTCAGTTAATTAGTACCAGGTGATATCATCCTTGCAATTTTCCTTCTCCATTTAGTGGAGCAGCTATGTCTTCATACTTGTGGGTTGTGGAGCAGCGGCAGTTACAATGACCAATACCAGCTCCGATGAGTAGCTGTAGCTGGGAGGCAAAGCCCATACAAACTGGGAGAGTAATTTTCAACAATGGGGGATTAATCCCTCGTCTGAATAAGGGTGTGTCCAGGCAGGTTTTTTTCAGTTATATTACAAAACAAAAAGGAAAACAAATAATGTTTAAAAAACTTCTTGAGCTTCCTCATCACGATGAGTAGGTTGCAGAATGCCAGAACATCCCTCACTACCAAGTGAAAGTTCTGTTCTAAGGCAAGATCCACTTTTTGTAAAGTGACCTTCCACACGTTAGAACTTCAACTCAGGCTCCAAGCTTGAGGAAAGTCTGTCTTTGATATGTATGTGCTATTTGGTGTCAATACAAGTATAGAAACACAGAAGGGCAGAAAAAGGCTTGGCGGAGGGAGTGAAACTATATGGGGACAAGCGGCCATTGAAGGCCTGTGGGGCATCCAGGTTGGCATAGCATAGAGGCGATTGTGAAGACGTCATCAGAATTCAGATGAGTTCTTATCCTCAGGCCAGTGGTATGCTACCAGATGATCTGTGAATCTCTTCTTCTGAAAGTGCATGGAATACACACACAGAGGTATATGTACATATAATTTTCTGTTATCCATGCTTCATTTTTCTCAGGAAAGTATCCATGACTTCCATTAAATTGTAGAAAGGTCCATGACACCCTGCTAAGTTAAGAATCACTGATTTAACTGAAGCCTCTGAGAGCAAATTATAGCATGAGATGCAAAAAAGGCCTCAAACAGGCCCTAAGGAACAGCCTTTGGGGAATGGAGATGTCACTGGTTACAGCAACTTCAGTAAATTTGAGAACAAAGATTTTAGGGTAGTGGGTTGTGGCATAATGGGAGAAAGGAAGTGGAGGCCCTGAAATGTAGATTGTTGTTCAAAAAGCTCAAAGCACCTGTCCAAGATGAGAAAGAAGGCATAGTTGGAGGGGAATGCAAGGCCCAAGGAGTTCTGGGTAAGATATGGGAGGTTTGGTCCCATTGAAATATTGAGAAATACACAAATCAGTAAAGCAGGCTTTGCAGGAGGTGGAAGGTGATGGGTTCTGGAACAAAAGAGAACAAATTAAGGCTCTTAGTAGGCATTTGAATAAATAAAATGCTTGTCATATGAATTTTTTGGATAACTTTTTGTTTTTTAAATATTTATTATCAGGCTATTCATTTATTTGACACACAGAGAGA